GTTGAATGGTTTTGAACTTTATGACTATGTCATAGAGTTGCACCTCTTAATTCGAAAGAAATAAAGATGAAAATCCTTATGACTACATTGAGTGCATATATGATATATACTCAAGGAAATTGTAAAGTACCATTTGACTCGAAATAATGAAACCTTCATAGCTAATTGGTAGCTTAAGGTGACTACAATCAAAGAGAATGGTTGACTTTAAAGGAACCATTTTTGACGTAGTCTTAGTTTCAATTAATTCGAAGATTGCTAGCTACAACTAAATGATGATTTAATGTTTAGACATAATATGGGTTTCTGAAACCATTATTAAGATAGTCTTGATAATATATGTCTAAAATTATAAATCACAAGACATGTAAGTTGTAGAGATCCATCCATCATGGATCTTAGCAAGTTAATGGGAGCTATTTGCATTTTATGAGAAAAAGGATCAAATCGTTTGATTTCTCATAAAGATGTAAATGAATCTTTTGTTTACTAGTTTTACAAAAGATTAGTGGGAATTAATCATGTTCCTAAAAATTTAAATATATATGATATATTAATTTTGGAAATGAAAAGAATACTTCTTCGTTAAAGTTATGATTTTAATACATTATATGAAGATAGAATGTATATGGGAGATATAGTCTATATACATGGGATGGAAATCTATAATGATATATTTCATGATATAATTGGATTATATCAATCCCTAATAATAGACAATGGATGCTAGGAAGTTTCTCATATGATGATAAACTTCAAATAGAAGGACGATTCTAGTGAGACTAGCAAGTTGCCCTTCTCAAAGGGAACGTGCCCCTTTGACTCCCAAAGAAATAATGCGTAAATAGAATCCTTTATGCATACGCAGAAAGGTGATTTATGTATTTCATATTGTATGAAAAACATTGATATGAGTTGTACCTAGAACGATACAAGACGATATCAATGCAAGCCCAGTATCAGAACCATGGCAACTGTCAAGTGAGTCCTTAAGTATTTAAGAAATACTAAAGGATAGATTCCTCAAAGAATGAGGAAGAATTAGAGTAACGTAATGGAAGCGTAAATGTATTAGATTATGAATCTAATCCATCATTGGATGTTTCTTCATTATGAATGAAGAGATAAACGAATATCTCTTTATTGTGACTAAAGAGATATTTGGATGGAAACATTAAAGTAATGGCTTTAGTGTGTTCCATTATGAATGCAAGATATATTGCCATATAGAAGTTTACAACAATATTGTTTGGATGGGAAGTTCATTTATGAACTCTCTATTCGGTTCCAACCAGAAAGTGTTTGACACTAATGGGGCGATAGCTCAAGCCTGGGAATCAAGGTCTCATCAAGATCCGAACTCAAATGAGAGACTGAACCACATGATTGAGAATCATGTATAATGGTGACGTCGTTATTCTCAAGGTTGCTTCTATGGATAACACATATAGATATCCACTGTCTAGGCCTACTATTCAGCCATTTATGAAATGACTACAGAAGAGGTATCATCAAGATGACCAAGCTTATTGGCTCTAGTGCAAGTGGGAGATTGTTGGAAATGTGCCCTAAAGCCAATCATGTGATGATACTTTACGGACATTTCACATGTTAAACTAATCTAGTTTTACATATAAAGGGCAAAGATTATTGTTTGAGCCGTCTCATTTAAATGTTATATGCTTAAACGATAAAGTCCAAGGAATATGTGATTGGGAGAATGTAATCTAATGAAGTTAGATTCATGAGACCATTCTTTCGTAGACACATCCTAAACGTTCCTGATCATAGGATTGCCAATTGGGCATTGACAGTCCGTTAAGATCAGTACGTACTATGTCTTCTCTCAGGGAGAGTGATTAGTCTCGAGTCATTGGTGTGTGTGACATCAAGACAAGTACGGTATGTGCTCAATAGAGAATGAGTTCACTGAACGCGATCAACGAAGAGTTCTCATATTCATGTCACATGAGAACTCATGGTTGGGATAATGCAAAGTAGTCCTTTGACTTGAGGCATCATAGTTGTCTTATGGTTAAGTCCTTGATCTTTGATTATGTCAAAGTCACTCCATCATGAGGGTGTCCATGGTATCGTTGGGGTCAAGCCACTTAGCTATGGAGACAAGTGAATGCGCAACAAGGGATCTCTAACCTTCAAACCGTTTGAGGAGAATACTCTATGATATGATTTGAATCTCTGGCCAGAGTATGAATGAGATTTGGGAATGCGTTCCGAATCACATTCAAGGTAATCATATAAGCACAAGACACACATTGGATAGTAGACATGAGCAAATAAACTATCAAACCAAACAATGTGGTCAAGAGTATTAGATTAGAGAAAGACCGTATTGCATTTGTAATCCCGAACTGAATAGGTTCTCTAACCTCTTCTGATTAGCTTGGGTAACCATGATATGCTGCTAGGTGTCACTCATGGTTTGTGGAAGCCCTAAACGTGTGTAATCACTAAAGGGAGAATTGAAAATAGTTTCAATTCACAATCGATGTGAAATGGTTTTAATCGCCCACTACCTCGCTAAAAGGAACCTAATGGATCGCACACCATAAGAGGTGGAGATTGGAGATTAAACGGAGATGAGTAAGAATGATTAAATGGTTTAATTATTTATTTATGGCAATGATTAATTAATATGTTAATTAATCAAACGAATAAGTTCGTTAAAGACCTCGCGATAGTTTTGGACCTTAAGGCCCAATGGGCTTCGAACGTCAAGTCCATTGACTTAAGTTGTATGACAACTTAATGAATAATGATTCACAAAGGCCCAATTACACCAAAAATATCCCATGGCCGGCCATATGGTTTAGGGTAGTGAACTTGGACTTATTTACAAGTTTGCCACTCAAATGAATTAAGGTATAAATATGACTTTATAGCCAAAATTCATTTAGGGGTTTGTTTTGGGGAAAATTGGTGAGAATTGTCTCTCCATTTCTCTCTAAAGAGGCCGGCCACCTTGGAGGGTACATCTAGCAATCCTACTACTCCAAGGTCATTCGTTTTTTCTACAATCTAACCTTGATGTCGAGACTTAGAGGTTCTCAATTTTGGGAACTTGGAGAACCATATTCTTCCATCCAAATCCATGGATCTAAGAAGCAAGGAATGAAGGCCCTATCTCTTTGGGTGATTAGCCTTTGCTTATGCAAAGAGGAATCTACAAAGGTATATTTATCAACTCACTTTGTTTTTGAGTTGATTCTTGGTTCACCAATCTACTAGGCTTTGAATTTCATGGTAATGTTTTGTTTTTGAGTGCATGCAAGCATGATTCCGCCTTTAATTGTTAATTGCATGCTATATGATGTTGCTCAAATGAACATGTTTTCACAAAATAATCCTTTAATGTGGGTGTTGGGGAAGCGTCGTATGCAGTCCAGGCCTCCCGTTAGCTGCTACACCAGTTGAGCCAACTGTTCAGTGTCCACTCACGACCAGCTAATGGATAAATGTCTGACAAAATAATTAAGTAATATTCATATTAATATAAAATAATATACCCGAATTTCCTTTTCTTTTCATATTAACCAAATCAAGAGTTATCTTTTAATAGTAACTTATTAAATATAGTCCATGATTGGAAAACGGCACTTGGTGTAACAAATCGTGTTTTCGGTATACTAAAAAATGCTCAACTTTATTATATATGTTGTAACACCAAATATCCAATTAGAATCCAATTATGTCTGTATTCATAACTTACAATTTACGCATACGTGAGCAACTGTTCTTAACATTTGCAAATAAGAAGGTGCAATTATTCATACTAAAAAATAGTTAGGAGCACATAAATTGACATGTACTTGATAAAATTCGAGAAATTCTTCGCAATAATTGAGACATTTTTGCTACAACTAAGAACAAAAGAAGCTCCCACAACGGAGTTGCTCACTTCAATCTAGAGTGGCCGACGACATATGCCAAACTAACATATACACTTACAAAAAATGGAAACTAGACAAGGTTGTAGCTCCAATAAAAAAAATGCATTACATTATGTGTCAATGTTTACTAATTATATCAATTATTAGGCTGATTCTTTGATTTTGATCTGAAACATAGTACTACTTCAAAGATCCCCAATGTTTTATTTAATAGACCTTTCCATGCACATCATGTAATGCAAGAAGTTTCAGGGACTAATCAAATAGTGAAAATGAGGTGATCACAAAGGGGATCAATCAAAATGCCTTAATTGTACCAACTAATGAAGTTATTTGAAGGGTTTATAATCATATTTAGAATGCTAATCAATGATCGTCTCCTTAAAGAAAAAGAGGACGTGGAACCGATGAAACGTGAATACAACACTTGTCGTGGACATGAGCTGCTTGTTGGCCATGATAAGAGTAGTTAATCTATATGGGTGTGTATAGATTATCAATTAGGTTTCTTCTTTAGACGGATTTACAAAACGATGTCTAAATGTACATCTACGATTTACAATTTCACAATATAACATGTTAAATATCCGACAAACAAATGGCTTTGATTTCTAAATTGTAGCTTCCTTCTCAATCTCGCATTAAGTTGAAAAATCGAAAACATAAACTTACAAACCAACTCTGATTTTTAAATTGTATTTGTTGTGGTTGTACCTAATGGGCCGGGCTCATGAGGACCAGTGGCAATTTTGAAATATAACACAAATACAGCACCATTTTTGTCACAAAAAAATTCATCGTTTTTCTACCTCAAACTATTGGCATCGCTCAGTGTCTCCGTCGTCTTCTGATTTTCCTCCGAATCGGAGAAGAAAGGCAACCAAATCATGGTCCTCCGAATTCGTGTTTTCTGATTCTTCCCGGCGCTCCTTACGCGTTCTGCAGCCTGAGCGCGCTGCGCTCTCGGTTGATTCCGTGGTCTGATTTTCCGCGAATCGCAATCCGACGGTGGCGATGGCATCGCCGCTGAACCAATCGGCGAATGTGGATCTCGAAGGATCTCTTCGATGCGTATTTACGACGGGCCAATTTTGACGGCGATGGCCGGATTAGTGGCAATGAAGCCGTCGCTTTCTTCCAGGGCTCTGGTCACCCAAACAGGTCCTTGCGCAGGTACTCTCTCTCTCTCTCTCTCTCTCTCTCTCTCTCTCTCTCTATATATATATATATATATATATATGTGTGTGTGTGTGTGTGTGTGTGTATGCTTGTGTTTTTATGTATAATTGGATGTGTGTGTGATTATATTTGTGTTCCGAATCAGATTGATTTTGAATTTTTTTAGTGTAATTGTAGTTGAAGTGGTAAATGTGAGCTCGGGATGTCTTAATTCTCTTATGTAAGCTGAGATTTTTATTTCGTGTTAGTATAAATGCGGAATTGATGTTCAAATGGTAGAAAATAAGTAGATGAAGAATTTATACTACAGTTAGTGAGGTTGAGAGAGTCATGTTATCAGGTCATTAATATACCTTCTGGTGTATCCGTTCCGTTCGACCTGAGGTGGTAAGCAGACTTTAGAAATGTGTTATATGACCCAAGGATTGATCGAGGATTGTTTATTACATTAGAATTGTGCAGTAGTGAAAACCTGCAGCATAAGATGACTATGGAGTAGTTAGGATTGTCGCATACAGGGGACATGTTCTTGGGTCAGGATCATATCGACAAAAAGGTTCTTGAAGCTGTATACTTGTTTTGCTGAAGGAATTTCCGTATAAAATGATAACCAGGGGCATATTATGTTAAATATTAATTATATGGATGCACTTTCTCATTAGCTTGAATTGCTGAACATAACAGGCTTAATCAAGCATATTTTTCTGCGAGATGCTTTGCTGCTGGATGTTCAGTCGTTGCATGATGTATTCGTATTTTGATGTAAAAACTTACATATGCCATAGATATTTTGTAGATATAAATTTTAATTTGTGATTGGGAGTAATCTTTTGCTGGCCAATTGACACACGAACATCCATAAATATATACTATTAAATTGAGTCATGTCTAAATGTGCAGTCTAGATTGATATGACTACCCATCATGCAGTTCGGTTTTTTACCCTCTCTAATAAAATTTGTTTCGCTGATCTTTGTTTGGTGCAAACAAGGACACTAAGTTTTGCCGGTGTTAGTCCAATCGGGCCATTCATATTTTTTGCTCATTGCAGTTCGGCCATTGAATAATCACATATTTTTGTCATGTTGAATGTTCAAACTATGGCGCTTGGTTGTGAGATTTTTACTTTGCCCTGGCATGGTGTGTTAATTAATGTCTATGTTTATGATATAAAGGTAAATCAAGTTTTAAAGATAACAAATAGGCTATAATACACTTGGCCATAACTAGCGCTTTATAATGTATAAAGTATAAACAATACCAACATAATAAAAGCCTTGCCTAGTTGTTGTCTTATTTCTTGGTCAGACAAGTGAGCTACCAAAGTACAAATTTGCCTTAAAAAGTTTTTCCTAATCACTTTCATTTGCTTCAAACTCATCACTTGATCCACTAACTTGAGGCTCATCTCCTGATCCACCACCTTTGGAGGAGTTCCAGTAATACACACTATTAGCTTCCACACATGCAATGCATGGGAGGATTTGTTTTTTATTAAATTTTTATGGGATTTAGAGAGTTATTGTAGTAAATAATAAAGAGAAAAAGTAGGGAGTGGGAGAGAGAGTGGGGTAAAATTAAAATGAAATTACTATAAACAATATTTATTTCAGTTGAACTGAAATATAAGAGAAAGACGGTAATTAAATTGCTTCCAGATCCCAACCACCATGTATCGTCCATTCTCATGAGCATCTAAGCAATAATTTATTTCAGATGAACTGAACGACCTTTATCTCACATGTATTTGGAGTTAGGTCGGCGATCCATTTAATTCCAACTAGGATTACCAACACAAAATTGACAACACTTTTGGGTTTAAGGTGTTAAGGTAGAGCTCAATATTACAATTTACAAAAACCTTTAAAATCCTATGAATCAAAATCGTCAGTTTTACTGGATGACAATATTAAAAAAAAACTGGTCAGATCACAGAACTAAAAGGATTGGCATCTCAACTGTAGCATGTAATAACCGTAAGGTCCAGCATTAATCACTGAAAAATGATTTTTCGTAAGTAGGAAGGTCTAATATTTGTGATCATAAGGATGGTCTAGCTACAGAAACATTGACAACAATATCAATCAAAATTGGGCCACTGCAAGATCTGCACTGTGTGCTCAGCAACTCTATGCTCATTTTCACTAACCTGACTCCTCCGATAATGATGCTTCTGAACAATCTTAATTAGTTTCTCAAAACGTGACTTGAGAACATCCTCTTCCGTGGGCTCTTGCAAGCGTTGAAATGATTGCCTGGCACTGCCCTGCATGAAATACAGAAACACCAACCAACAAAAGTAAGTCGAAATACACTGATAGATGTACGTTTTTCGTGCTGAAGATGAAACAATGCGAGGTCAACTTAATAGTTTAAAAGAAGCACTTTAAAGGACACACTCTTGCCTTCGGAATGCCCGGTAATGGAGAAGGATAAGGCTGAGAAGATCCCGAATCTTCAGCACTATCAGCCCCATCACCAGAATTCATATCCATTAATATTTTGTGACGCTCCTTGCACTCTTTAGGCTTGCGAAAAATACACTGCATGGTACAAAGTCATAAGAGCAACACCCAAGACATACACTAGGAAAACCAACACTTCAAATGCACATAGATCATCTTCACCATAGGCAATAAGCATAAGGTGCACCAGCAATAACACTAACCTTCAAGTGCAGTGTGCTGTTGATTGCATCACTTATGAGTTCCCAATTTGGGCCCATATCATGTACAAGAACAACAAGTGCCTAAGGTAACAAAAACAGTAAATCTTGTTCAGTTATTGGCAAGTCTACAACATCTGAAGAGAGAACAATTTGATAAAATTAATAATGACATATTAACCTGATCTTCAGAATGGGACCATGGACCTCCAGAAGTAGTATCTAGAGATTGCTTTAATATCTTTGGCTTCTTGGCTGTATGCTGCCCATATAAACCTGCAGAGTACAAAGTTTAATACATAAATGAGAGTTCCATAGCATTTCAAATCAAAGGCTACAACAAATATCCAAGTGAAGACAGGTACCAATTGTTCCATTGGACTCAAAATCATCTTGTCTTGTTTCTTCTCCTACTTTTGGTCCCCTCGACATGAACTCATGACCAAAATTGAATTTCTCAGCATCTTCCGCATACAATGGGCATATACCACACCTTTCCACCGTTATACGTAAAACAAAAGTATTGCCGGCTTCAGAATCTTCAGAATCTTCAGAATCTTCAAAACCCACAGGGCAGAAGAAGACAACAGAGGCCTCTTTGGCAAGTTTGTAAACATCAGGGGAGCAGTTTTTTCCTACCGCTTCACTTCTAAAGCCCTCATTCCACACGTGCACGTGATGTTGGTCAACACTGTGGTCGTAGCTTATGCCTGGGATAATGTACTTAAAACTGAACAGTTCATGGCTTTCACCCATGAATTTGACAATGAAATTAGCTCTTACCCTCCAGTCATGCCGCCGCCCTGATACCCCAGAAAGAACAAGAGAGAGAGCGAAACCAAATAAACCTGTTCGAAACCAATCTGGACAAAGCTCGATGTCTACTGAAGATCCCTCATTTTGATAGCTGAACCAATTTGGAATTTCTTTTCCTGGACATACAGTGTTAATCTGAGGCCAGGGATTATGAATCCAGGGTTCACGAAACCAGCTAATGTACTTAAATGGCGCAACAGTTGCCATTCGCATAATTGTAATCTGTGCTTCATCCATTATGTTGCTCCTTGAATTATTATCCAATTTTGGGCAATTACTAAAAACTTTGAAACAATTTTTAGGTTTATCCCAACCTTGTGCGAGTGCTGTCCTTGAACTTGACACTATCTTCAGCGACTTGCAGTTTGAAGCTTTAACATTGCATAGCACTGGGAGCTCTGGTATAGATTGAAGCCGCTTGCAGCCCTTTAAGTTGAGTATAGACAACCGAGAAGCTTGTTTGATGCTTGCTGGTATTTCCAATATACCGCTCTTGCTGAGATCTAGTTCTTCTAAAGAGATAAAACCAACAGAGCTGGAAGGCAATTTTTCAAGTCTCCCACACTCATTAAAGTTGAGACGTTTAAGATTGGTTAAACTGTAGATACTTGTTGGGACATCCTTAAGTAGATAGCAGCGTCTAAGGTTTAAATCTTGAAGCCCATTTAGATTCCCAATAGACGAAGGAAGCATTTCGACAGCTGTGTATTCCAAACAAAGAGACACCAAATGTTCCATTGGCATCAAGATTTCAGGGAATATGGAAAATCCACTAACTTGAGGCTCATCTCCTGATCCACCACCTTTGGAATGATCATCTTGTCTTGTTTCTTCTCCTACTTTTGGTCCCCTCGACATGAACACATGACCAAATTTGAATTTCTCAGCATCTTCCGCATACAATGGGCATATACCACAGCTTTCCACCTTCTTAGGGGAAGCAGAATCCACCGGGCAGAAGACAACAGAGGCCTCTCTGGCAAGTTTGTAAACATCAGGGGAGCAGTGTTTTCCTACCTCTTCACTTCTAAAGGCCTCACTCCACACAAGCACGTGATGTTGGCCGTCACAGCAGTCGTCGTTGCAGTCCTCTGGGATAATGTACTCAGAACTGAACAGTTCATGGCTTTCACCCATGAATTTGACAATGAAATTAGCTCTTACCATCCTAAAGTCATACCACCGCACCTCTGAAACCCCAGAAAGAACAACAGAGAGAGCGAAACCAAATAAACCTGTTCGAAACCAATCTGGACAAAGCTCGATGTCTATTGAAGATCCCTCATTTTGATAGCTGAACCAATTTGGAGTTTCTTTTCCTGGACATGCAATGGTAATCTGAGGCCAGGGATTAGGAAGCCAGCGATGGTCCTTTAATGGCGCAACAGTTGCCATTCGCATAACTGTAATCTGTGCTTCATCCATTATGTTGCTCCTTGAATTATTATTCAATCTTGGGCAATGAAGAAACAATCTGAAACAATAATGAGGTTTATCCCAACCTTGTGTGAGTGCTGTCCTTGAACTTGACACTTTCTTCAGCGACTTGCAGTTTGAAGCTTTAACATTGCATAGCACTGGGAGCTCTGGTATAGATTGAAGCCGCTTGCAGTAGTTTAAGTCGAGTATAGACAACCGAGAAGCTTGTTTGATGCTTGCTGGTATTTCCAATATACCGCTGAAGCTGAGTTCTAGTTCTTTTAAAGAGAGAAAACCGACAGAGCTGGAAGGCAATTTTTCAAGTCTCAAACACCGATGAAAGTCGAGACATTTAAGATTGGTTAAACTGTAGATACTTGTTGGGACATCCTTAAGTAGATAGCAGCATCTAAGGTTTAAATCTTGAAGCCCATTTAGATTCCCAATAGACGAAGGAAGCATTTCGACAGCTGTGTATTCCAAACAAAGAGACACCAAATGTTCCATTGGCTTCAAGATTTCAGGGAATTTGGAAAATCTAGAGCAATTGCTGAGACGAAGGCTCACAAGATATTTCAACTCACAAATTGATGAGGGTAACTCTGTAACTGCTGTGTGGCTTAAACTTAAGGACTTCAAATGTTCCATTGACTTCAAGATTTCAGGGAATTTGGAAAATCCAAATCTAGAGCACCCGCAGAGACCAAGACTCTCAAGATATTTCAACTCACAGATTGATGAGGGTAGCTCTGTAACTGCTGTTTCGCTTAAACTTAAGGACTTCAGATATTTCAACTCACAGATTGATGAGGGTAGCTCTGTAACTGCTGTTTGGCCTAAACTTAAGGACTTCAAATGTTCCATTGGCTTCAAGATTTCAGGGAATTTGGAAAATCTAGAGCACCCGTGGAGATCAAGACTCTCAAGATATTTCAACTCACAGATTGATGAGGGTAGCTCTGTAACTGCTGTTTGGCCTAAACTTAAGGACTTCAAATGTTCCATTGGCTTCAAGATTTCAGGGAATTTGGAAAATCTAGAGCACCCGTAGAGATCAAGTCTCTTAAGATATTTCAACTCACAGATTGATGAGGGTAGCTCTGTAACTGCTGTTTGGCTTAAAATTAAGGACTTCAAATGTTCCATTGGCTTCAAGATTTCAGGGAATTTGGAAAATATAGAGCACCCGTAGAGATCAAGTCTCTCAAGATATTTCAACTCACAGATTGATAAGGGTAGCTCTGTAACTACTGTTTGGCTTAAACTTAAGGATTTCAAATGTTCCAGCTCCAAAATCTCTGGAAAGTTTTCAAATTTAGAGCAACCACTGAGATTGAGTATCTCGATATTTTTAAACTTACAGCAGTTGCTTGGAAATTTCATAAAGACGCATTGATTTAAATTCAAGCAAGAAATATTTTTGTTAGACCAAACTGATTCAGGCAACTCCTTTATACCACTGCGATCTAAATTTAAGTATTGAATATTTCCTGGCATCTTTGGAAGATACTTGAGACTCCGGCAACATTCAAGATCAAGATGAGTAAGCTTGTCGAGATGTTGAAAATACGAAGGAATTTCAACCAAACTTTCACAGCCCTGGAGATTTATCACTTGTAAGTTGAGAAGTATCTGCAACAAATTAAATAGAAATATAGAGAATTAATATAATTTCTACACTTGATTTTATACAAGATTTAAAATAGGCATATAATATAATATACCTGCTCTTCTTTCCAAAGCTTCTTAACTTCACTAGCTTGCATATGAAGCTCAACTAGATTTTTTGAACAAAAATTTGACGGCAAAGATTCCAGTGGATATCCCCGCCACTTAAGATAACGAAGAGAATCGGGAAGGTCTAGAGAAGTGGTGAGTTTGTGGTAAAATTTTCCAGAATCCACAATTAGCATTATTAGGTTAGACATCTTTTTGAAGTCTGCACGTTCTAATGGTCGCTCTTGAAGATCACACCAATTAACCTGTATGGCTTCAACAATTGGAATTTCCTGAGAATAAGAAGAAAGTTTAAATGTGAATATAAACATATTAAAATGTAACACACATTTGGAACAAAGAGTATTTGCGATGGTAATCATGTACAAGTGTCTTAGTCTAGTCAAATATCCAACATAATTGTATCCTCCTCTACTTGTCTAAATAAACAAACATTTGTTCATATTCCAAACACTTCCTAACACAATAAATATTCAATCAAATTCATCTTTTAACAATCTCACTTCTTTATTATAAATTAGTTTTACTTTGTTGTGTTATCATCTTAAGTCAGTAATTTTTATTTTCTAAAAAAAAAATAAAAAATAAAAAAAATTGAATGCATTTGGCTCTTACCTTGTTACTCCTCAATACACGATTGACATCCTCAACATTGAACAACCTACTCCGTTTACCGGGATCTTTAATATCTTGTTGTTGAACAATTTTCCTTCCCATTTCTTGTAGCAAATCGTGCATCTCTATGGTTTCCTTTCCCCATTGTGAAACAATTGATATGAGAGACATCTCAATGAGAATTCTAATTCCAGATGTCGCAAAGAATTCACGAACATCTAACATTCGTTTTACCTCAACCACAGACTTCCCTTTATGAAAACATGCTATATCCAGAAAAATATCCTTCTCATTGTCTCCCAATCCATCATAACTTATTCTCAACACCTTCTGGATATCTTTGCTGGGAAATCGTTTCAATTTGTTGAATTCATCTTCCCATTCTTCTTTGCTCTTGCAATTGAAGAACAAGGACCCCAGGACTGTAAGAGCTAAAGGAACGCCTTTGGCATAAGCCACCGCCTTTTCTACCAACTCCTTATAATCTATTCTACAAGTACTGTTATCCTTGAAAGCACGCGAACAAAAGAGCTGAAGATCATCATCCGGTTGTAATCCCTCAATCTCGTAGATATTATCCTCTTCAACAGTTTTCCCAAATGTGCCCCTATCTCTAGTTGTGATAATGATTCTACTTCCAGTGCCAAACCGGAGACCACTGCCAGCTAAACGTTCCATTTGCATTGAACTACTCACATCATCAAGAACAATGAGAACCTTTGTGCGGCTGAGCCTTTCTCGAACACTAATTGATCCTATGGATAGACCTTCTTCCTTTAATATCTCCTTAAGAAGTGTTTTTTCCAAGTGATCTAGTCCATCTGCTTTTTCTGAGTTCTCCCTGACATTCTTAACAAAACAAGAAGCTTCGAATTTAGAAGAGAGCCTGTGAAATACAGTTTCGGCAAGGGTGGTCTTGCCAATACCACCCATGCCCCAAATACCGACAGTGATGCAAGCATCCGATGAATGAATGCCTAATAGTGATTCGACCTGCTCGATGCGGCTTTCAATTCCAAACAAGCCCTTTAAATCGCAGGATGATGCGCGACACAATTTGGTCCAAATATATTCAACAACTTTCTTAACTAAAACAGCATCCGTCCTGGCATATATATGTAGGAAAGTAATTGTTAGTCTTAAATATTTATACCTTACAAAATCTTAGCACAATAAAATCATCACAAGTTTAAAGAAAATTTATAATTTTATACAAGTTAAAAGAATTAGTTAGTTACCCATATTTTTTTGAATCAAACCCAGATAGATTTGCTGCATTCGTCAAAGCATCCCTCCACTTGCGCACCTTGTTGATACTGTTCTTGAAACGCTGTTCAAGTTCAGCAAATGCAACCTCATAACTCCCCTGTTGTTTTCGTACATCCGATGGAAGGGTGTCGTAAAAAATGGGTATAACCAACCGGCCATGTTTTTCCTTGCATTCTAGGATATGCACAAGCTCATCCAAACACCAGGTCGAGGAAGCATAGTCTTTCGAGAGAACGATCACCGAAAGCTCTGATTCCTTAATTGCTTTCAGAAGGGCAGGTGCGATTTCATCTCCTCTCTTAAGCTCGTCATCAATATAAGTTGTGATTTTGTTCTCAAGTAAGGCAGCGTGGAGGTGGCTGGTGAAAGTACGGCGGGTGTCCTCACCTCTGAAACTAATAAACACATCGTACTTTTTTGTATCATCAGCATCAGCAGGAGCAGCAGTGGATGAAGAAGAAGAAGCGATATCCACAACATCTAGTTTTCAGATGCAGCAAAAAGATGTAGTTGCAGAGAGATTAATTGTTAATTAAAGAGAAATAATATTATGACGTTGCAGGAATTAAGGAGAATTTACTTAGGATTGGCTTTTGACTACATGCACAAAGTTTGACAGAGAGAGAGATGAACGAAAGTAGAAAATGGGGCACATGATAGGCACATATTTTCTTAAAAAAAACTATCATTTAAAGAAAGATATTCATATATTTGCAATCTTAATATGAACAACGTCATCTCAGCATGTAAAGCTACTAGTACTAACCAACATCCGGCACATCAGTAGAATCAGCTACATCAGAATCAGCCGCAGGAGACGAAGAAGAAAATGATCTGCAGCATATGTACAATAGAGTCCCGATGGCGATGACGATGATGTTGAAAACTTGAATGAAGGCAATCAACTCCATATCTCTATTAGGTAGGTGCACAAAGTTACAAACGCTTCAGGAGGACAAAAACTGAAAATTTGGAGAGACAAGGATTAGTCACTTTCACATACTTAAAAAATATTTGATAATTGATAATGCTAAACTAACCTAACGCTTTCACAAAGTTACAAACGCTTCCGCCGGGCCCCGCGGCGGGGGGGGGGGGGGGGGGGGGGGGGGGGGGGGGGGGGGGGTGGGCAAAAAAATTATTTGTCATGTATAAAAACCAATGTTGGAGGAGAGGGGAATTAGACCTCAGACTCTGTCCTCAGATGTAATTTATGTTTATGGAAGAAACATAGTAGATGCAATTAATTGAACTGAGGCGTCCTATAAAAATAAAAATAAGAGAACTTTAACGAAAAGCTCCTTGTACTGTTCATTTTAACGAAAAATCACATTTTTACATTAAAAAGTCAATCCTGGTACTATTCATTTTACCACTGAGGCGTCTTTATCGTTAAAATTCAAAATTTTCAAACCATTTTTATTAGTTTTTCTTAAAAATAATGGGGCCTAATATTTAAGTACTCACCCAATGAACAAGTGCTTTTTGTTTTAAAAGTTCAATAAAAATTAATGACATGTACATTATATTATAAAAGAATAAAACATATAAGGTCAGTAATTACTAATGAGTACACAAATATGGGATTAACTTGGCTGCTGAAAATTTCAGCAGCCACCCCTACTTACAACCAATCACGTGTGGACACGTATCTAAATTTTGATTAAAAAAATCAAAACTTGGATACGTGTCCACACAAAATTGAATGTAAATAGGGGTGGCTTCTGAAATTTCAACAACCAAATCTTTTTCTACAAATATTGTCCTAATATTGTATTTGGATAATACTTGGATCCTGACCGGTCAGGACCCATTTTTAAGGTAGACCAATAACATTGAAATACTTGGCACATTAAGTAATTTTTTATTATTATTGGCATACTCAAAATACCAAGTGTTTCAATATTATTGGTCCACCTCAAAAATAAGTCCTGACCGGTCAAGACCAAGTTAGGGCTGGGTTCGGTTTGTTTCGGTTCGGTTTTTTGCCAAAACCGAAACCAAACCGAAATTTCGGTTCGGTTCGGTTCGGCCCAAATTTTTTTCGGTTTTTTTCGGTTCGGTTTTTTTTTCGGTTCGGTTTTTTCGGTTCGGTTTCGGTTTTTTTTCGGTTTTTTTTTTTTTTTTTCCTCCAAAAAATGCAAAACAACCCCAACATAAGATATCATGCATCTTTTCAGCAAAGAAACAGCCACTACTTGCTAGTATTTGAAGTTTTGAAATTGTAACTTAATCTGTATTTAACTCCCATTTCTTTGTTTATAGAACCACAGACTAACTCAAACTGTTGAGGATATACAAGAAAACATGTCCATTTAGGTTTAGCTTACCATCAAATCAGGCAAAGGGATTTTTACTTTAGTAAGCATTATTTCGCAATTATATGCCCGTCTTAGCTCAATCTGCAAGAGCCAGTAAATTTCTCATTAGAATTGAGGTGGCAAAGGAAGACTATATTCAATTAATTCAAAACAACAACAAAAAGGTAAAACCAAAAACACGCTAGACAGATCCTCATTTCAAGCTAGTTAACTGGCAATAACACATTTACCAGATTTTTTAGATACTTTGGGGGATGCAGCCTTCCCTTCCACGAAAAGGAAAAAGTTTGTTACTCCAATAACCTTATGATAAAAGATCCATGGCAAAGTTTGCTCTAAACCAGCTGAAGTGCTTGTTTGAATGGATATCTGGCACACACAAAAATACAGACGGGTCATGAGATGGCTCCAATGTCATGGTTGTATAAATTTATAAACATACATCATGGCAATCAATGCAAAATCAAAGATCTAAGACCAATTGGAAACACGATTCCATATCATTTATACAAATAGCAAACTGGAAACACGATTTCATTAATAACAAATATTCTTAAGTCTGACAACCAATTCAAGTTCAATAGCAGATCAGCTAAAACAAAAATATCTTCTTAAAAGTTTATGAGAACTCAGAAACCACTACTACTAGTACTCATCTTGGACCAAATCATCGACTCATGCAATGTTTGAATATCAGCCACTTAACGGTACTGCAAACAAAAAGTTCGAAAAATGAAACCCAATTACATTGTGGAAACGGTGTAATCTCAGCTCAGTAAACGGAATCTAAACACAATCAGTAGCTAAGGGTTCTCGAAGCCTTTACCTTGATGAAGCCGATTTCCTTGGCATTGCTGCGGAAGCACTGCCTGCAGCACATGAGGCCGTACTTCCTGATCAAACCATGAGGGTTTCCACACACGCAACTTGCAGGTCGCTGTGAAGGAAGAAGACGAAGCGGAAGAGCGGCGGAGTTGGGAAGGAAGGAGAGAGGGTCCAGACTCCAGAGTACAGAGAAGAGGGATAAGGGAAAAGGGTCGCGCCGCCGTGGGTTAGGGTTACACTGGAGGAGAAGAGGCAGGGAACGAGAGAGACAGAGCGAGAGAGAGAGGAGGCTCGGCTGAGGCAGGGAACGAGAGAGAGAGGAAGGGAATGAAACATCAATCTGAAAAGGTATGGCTGCTAGTGGCTAGGGTTAAAGGGTTTTGTTACGTTCTCCAAAAAAATTAAAAAACATCTCAGACATCTGGAGGTTCGAACCCGTGCGCTGGGGTTTTAAAAGGTTCACCGAAACCAACTTAGCAACAAGGTATGTTTTGTTATGATTGTATGACTAAACTATTTATAATATTTTAAAAAATAATTAAATATATATATATCGGTTCGGTTTCCGAACCTCAAAAACCGAAACCGAACCAGTCAGATTCGGTTCGGTTCGGTTTGACAGTTTCGGTTCGGTTTTTTTTTTTTTTCGGTTCGGTTTTTTTTCGGTTTTCGGTTTGGTTTTTTTTTTTTTCGGTTTTCGGTTTTTTGAACCCACCCCTAGACCAAGTATTATCTCTGGCTTTCACAGTTTCTTAAAGATAAATACTTAGTCGGTACCCACTATGCTGACCCTTTGATATGGCCCACTGATATTTTACCACATGTCCTTTACAAGGAGGATACTACTTGGCTGCTGAATAATTTAACAGCAGCTGCTGCTTACAGCCAATTCCAATCAAAACTCGGACACGTGTTCAGTCGAGATTGGCTGCAGCAGCCAAACACTAGCTATTTTGCAACAAACACCAACTATTACTTTAAAACCATCGCCAAGCACTACCTTTCTTCTTCATTCTTCTGTCTGCCATGGTTGATTAGTCGACGCCGACCACTCCGGTCACTCCTCTAACCTCTCTCCTCCGTCAACCACCCCCACTATCTCCAATCGTCGTCCCACCCCAATCCCACCTCCCTCATCGAGACCAACGCATACTTCCTCTTCCGATTGAAAAGGATAATGAGTTTGAAAAATCGGACTGGTTGGAAAAGGAGATGGGGATGGGCCAGTGAGGTTGGTGGAGCAGCCATGATCGACGACGAGCCGCCATGGAACTTGAGAAGGTGGCGAAATAAAAATAATGTTTGGTTATAGGTTTAAAGTGATAGCTCGATGTTTGGGTAGAAAAATAGAAAGAGTCTGGGTGAGAGTTTTATATTACAGGTGTTATAATTTGAGTGGGCCACATCAATAAATTGGGTAATTTCCAGTGAGTACTTAAATATTGTCATTTCCTAAAGGGGTGTGCTATCCACACACCCCAAATTACTTCTCACACACCCTTATTAATTCATATCTGTTGATCTTTTTCAATTCATCCGATCCGACGGTTGAAAATTAGAAGGGTGTGTGAGAAGTAAAATGGGGTGTGTGGATATCACACCCCTTCCTAAATATTAGAATGATTACGGATTTGGATCCTCGCCGGATCTCTTCACTGAGTTCTTAAGAATCAACGGAAGTGTACTGTTGATTAAAAATTATGCGGTAATGATTTTTTTTCTTTTTTATATTTTTTTACGTAAAATGAGACTATTTTACTTTTAAAAATATAAAAAGCAAGATTTTTTATCAACTGTCCAAGTGCGTTGAATCCTAAGATCTCCAGGGAGGAGATCCGGCAAGGATCCAAATCCAATTACTACATGTCCATTAAGAAGCAGCAGCAGCAATATCCATTACCTTGAATTGGCTTTTGCCTACATATATTTCATTTATAAAAAATAAAAATAAAAACTATAATTTAAAGAAAGATATTCATATATTTGCAATCTAAATATGAACAGCGTCATCTCAGCACGTAAAGGAAGACAATTGTTCACGATGTAAACAAAACAAAGTGACATCCGGTGACAGGTCACCCGTGAAGAAATTAACAGCAGACATAACAAAAATTAATTAGCAATTTAAATGCCAGCATAACACAACACCTAAACTTATGTAAAAAGAAATGACAAAAAATACAGAAAGAGCCTTAAACAGTATCAATAAACACTGACTCACCTCTGACAAGTTACCAATTTGACAAGGGCTTGTTTGTTTTCTCCAGCTTCAAAACAATTAGTTTTTTGTATCATCAGCATCAGCAAGAGCAGCAGCGGATGAAGAAGAAGAAGAAGAATCCATATCCATAACCCCTAGTTTTCAGATTCAGCAAGTAGTAGTTGCAGAGAGATTAATTGTGAATTAGAAAGAAGGAGAGAGAGAGAGAGAGAGAGAGAGAGAGAGAGATTGGTTCAGAATTAAGGAGGATCCAATAAAGCAGGAGGACCCGATGAAACAAGAGAGAGAGAGAGGGAGGGAGACTAGATCAGAATTCACTCGAATTGGCTTTTGACTAAAGTTCCAAAGACTCCTACAGGATCAATGAGTGAGAGATGAATAGTTATAAAAGTGTACGAAGGGGCACATGGGATGGGGCCCACCCTTTACGCTCTTTGCGTGCACGGTTGTAAAGTTCTCCTGTTAGTCAGTGACTTTCAAGAAATTTCCAAACAATTTCCAAACAACTGCGATTGAGGACATTTGTATAATCAAATAAAAATAAGTGAATTTCACACTATAAAATCATAGATAGCTAAGCATATAGTTGTTCACCAATTGAGATTGAACAAAATTTGGAATCTGTTTTTCCGAGCCGAAATGACAAATCAATTCATTGAATTATGGAGTTTCAGCCCATTTAGTTATTATAACTATTTATCTTGCTACCATATTATAGTGAAATCAAACTAAACGGATCTTGATAGTTATCCATTAATAAATATTCAATGGGTTAGTTTGTCACTTCTATTTCCGAGGCTATCGAAAGGTCCTAAGAAAGTCCGGAACTCCGCCTGAATATATAAGCCTTGGCCAAAGATAAAAAAAAAAGAAGATAAAAGACTCTTTCTCACACAATTAGCGTGTTTACACCTTTTATTTACAAAGTTTTGAACTTTACCAGTTAGATACCAATTTATTCAAGAAATTTTCAAGCATTGAGTACCTTTTTATAATTCCTAGAAAAAGAAAAAACAAATGTATTTCAAACTACAAAATTTAGTTTCACACTACAAAATCACGGAAAGCTATCATTCGCTACTAGAAATTGCCTAAGATTTGAAATATGTATTTCCGAGGCTATCAGGAGGTTACTTAGCATGAAAGTAAGCAAGAAAAACAAGTGGTGAATTGCCCTTATGGTTGGGTCATTTCTCTTCAACTCATTGTGTCTCATTTCAAACCCACCCACCTTCTCTTAATAAAGATTAATGTAGAATATTGCTTCTAATTATAAAAATTAAAAAAAAAAACAAGCTGTTTCTCATTCTTTCACATATTTACGTGTTTTACGTACAAACCTTTGAACATTCCCAGTTAGTGACCAATTTCTTTCAAGAATTTTCCAAACCCTTTCTATCGAGTACCTTTTTATAATTTCTTAAATAAAAAAAATAAAAAAAAATCAATTTCACACTACAAAATCATGGAGGGCTAAGATTATAGTTCTTCACTATTGGAGATTGCTTAAGATTTGGAATTTGTCTTTTCAAGACATCAGGATGTCATAAGAGAGCCCAGAACTTAGCCTGAAAGTAAATACCGTCTCAATTCATCCTATTTCAGATCCGGGATGTGATATGGTTCCAAAAGATGAATTGGATATGGACAGTTCCAATAAAGCCTATGGGGTCGCTTTTGTAACTGGATAATCAGCACTGAAAACTGTCTTTACATTGGATGGTTTTGTGTTTTGATGATCCCTACTTTATTGAGCAAGAAAAATTTGTGTAGAGGTGGCTAATCATGTTATCCATGCGAGAGTAACTTTTATACTAACGTGGCAGTGATGACCACTACTTTGAAAATGCATTTACCATGATTATTAAAAAGATTTTATGCGCTTTATTATCGTATATATGTATATAGGAAAGTTGGCATGAGATTTCCACATGAGGTGCTTGTAAATAGTTAGTCGTGCGGTTTGTTCACAGTTTATCAACTTGCCACCCAAACCAACCAATTAGAAACCAGCAGAAATCAGCTACATCAAAATCAGCCGCAGAAGACGAATAATAAAATGTTAATCGTCTGCAGCACATGTAAAACAAAGTCCCTATGGCGACGACAATGATGTTGAAAACTTGAATGAACCCAATCAACTCCATCTCTTTATGTCTTAGATCCAAGGTTCTAAAAGTCGTTAGGAGTTAGTCGGGCGGCGGGCTGGGGTCTAGCGCCTAGGCGGACTAGGCGGATTTAAGTAAATCTATCATATTTCATGTAAATAAGTGTCTGTTTCTACTTGAAATATATATAATTTCATCATAAACTACAAAATAGAATGCATATATATCATGAAGTATTGGAACATAATGAAAACATGGGAAATAAGGATATAATGTTTGTTCATTCAAGTATGCAACAAGTCTCTTACAATTTATTGGAAAAAAAACAGAATGCAAAATGAAAGTTATGTATTTTCTGTCTAAGTGAGTTGCAACCTAGGCGGGTGCCTAGGCGGGCTATGCGGGTGCCTAGGTGGTCTAGACGGTGGGCTGGGGCCTAGGCATTAATCGGGGCGGTGGGCTGGGGCCTAGCACCTAGGCGGCGCTAGGCGGGGATTTTTAAAACAGTGCTTAGATCAGATAGCAAAAGGAGAATCTTAACTACAGTTGCACCTGAGACTAAATCAGAGTTTACCCTATAAACGAAATCGTAGTCCTTATTCGGTATGGGCACAAAGTTACTTTAATAATGGGGCAAAAGACAGTTTACTACCCTCATGTTTAGTGGTTTTCAACATTTAGTACATCAATTTTTTTTCATCCCAGAGTCATACCTAAAGTGTAAATTTTGGGACAGTCTCATACATCCGTTAGTCAAACTGTTAGTTCTCTCGTTAAGTGATGACGTGGCGCCCTGATTGGGCGCCACGTGTCATTAAAATTTTATTTAAATAAAAATAATATTTTAAAATATTAAAAAAATAATAAATAAAAAAATTTCTTCTTCTTCTCTTCTTCTTCTTCTTCTTCTTCTGGGTTCGGTTTCTCTTTCTTTTCTTTTTTTTTTCTTCTTCCTCCTCCTTCTCCTTCTTCTTCCTTCTCCTTCCTCCTTCTTCTTCTTCTCCTTCTTCTTCTTCTTCTTCTTCTGGGTTCGGTTTCTCTCTTCTTCTTTTTTCTTCTTCTTCTTCCTCCTCCTTCTCCTTCTTCTTCCTTCTCCTTCCTCCTCCTTCTTCTCCTTCTTCTTCTTCTTCTGGGTTTGATTTCTCTTCTTTTTTTTTCTTTTTTTTTTCCTTCTTCCTCCTCCTTCTCCTTCTTCTTCCTTCTCCTTCCTCCTCATTCTTCTTCTCCTTCTTCTTCTTCCTTCTCCTTCCTCCTCATTCTTCTTCTCCTTCTTCTTCCTTCTTCTTCATCTTCTTTTCTGGGTTCGGTTTTTTTTTTTTTTTTCTGTTTTTTTCCTTCTCCTCCTTCCTTCTTCTTCCTCTTCAGACACATCCCCAAATCAGTTCCTGCTAACACAGGAGGAAGAAGAAGGAAGGAGGAGAAGGAAAAAAAAAAAAACCCAGAAAAGAAGAGGAAGAAGAAGGAAGAAGAAGGAGAAGAAGAATGAGGAGGAAGGAGAAGGAGGAGGAAGAAGAAAAAAAAAAAGTGAGAAACCGAACCCAGAAGAAGAAGAAGAAGAAGAAAAAAAATATGTATATTTTTTATTATTATTTTAATATTTTATTATTTAAATATTTTTTAATATTATTTTTATTTAAAAAAATTTAATGACACGTGGCGCCCAATCAGGGCGCCGCGTCATCACTTAACGGGAGAACTAACAGTTTGACTAACGGATGTATGAGACTGTCCCAAAATTTACACTTTAGGTATGACTCTGGGATGAAAAAAATTGATGTACTAAATGTTGAAAACCACTAAACATGAGGGTAGTAAACTGTCTTTTGCCCTTAATAATGCTACTACGGGCTTTATGGTAGCGGCAAGCACACGTGCGCTTTATTGTAGTGGCAAGCACATAGTAGCCAATAGGCCCCCCTTCCCGACCTTACGCGCTTTACGTACAAATTTAACTTCGTTGCTCCATCTACTGATTTCATCTTTGACAAGCAGAGCATCCAAAGCAATTTGATCTTCACAAGGACTAACCAGCACCCGACACGTTACTGTAGTATCTAGGCGACCCGCTTGCTGTTGCAATATTAGTTTAAGATGTCAGAATGGCAATAACGGATGTAATTGAAGATAAAACCATCTACAACATTTGAATTTTTAGATCAACGAGCCCCGAAACCTTGAAATAGAGAAAGCCCACCTCCATAATGGTTTTGGTCGAATCTGATTTTGAAAAGAAAAGGTTCTTCCCATGCAGTAGACTTGATTTCAAGAGTCATCGTCCCAATAAGAAGAGTAAAGTGAAGGAAGAGAGATCAAGGGGGAGGCTGGCAATTTGAGGGGAGGAGTTGGCTGGGTTGTGAAACCATCATCGAACGTTAGATGATTAAGGAATTTCTCTTCAACTCATTAGTGTAAAGTATCTCTTGTAATTTAAAAAAAAAACAGAACTCTTTCTCATACAATTGACGTGTTTACACCTTTTACATACAAAGTTTTGAACTTTCCCAATTAGTGACCAATTTCTTTCAAGAAATTTTCAAGCACTTTCAGTTGAGTAACTGTTTATAATTCCCTAGAAAAAAGAAAAACAAGTGAATTTCAAACTACAAAATCATGGAGGGCTAAGAATGGTCATTCATTAGAGATTGCCTAAGATTTGCAATCTTTCTTTCCGAGGCTATCAGGAGGTCTTAAGGGAGCATAGAAGTTAGCATGAAACTATGTGAGAAAAACAAGTGGTGGATTGCCCTTATGATTAGGGCATTTTAGTTCAACTCACTGTGTCTCAGTCCAAACCCTCCCGCATTCCCTTAATACAGATTAGTGTAGAATATTGCTTATAATTAAAAAAAAGGCAAACACTTTCTCATTCAATTGACATATTTACATTTTTACGTGCAAATTTTTAACATTCCCAGTTATTGACCAATTTATTTCAAGCAATTTCCAAGCACTTTCGATCCAGTACCTTTTTATAATTCATTTAGATACATTAATTCAATATAATACATTTCAGTACACACATTTAAGTATATTCGTTTAATATAATACATTTCGCTGCATACATTTGGGTATATACATTTGGGTACATACATTTCGATACTAACATTTATGTCACAGCCCGTTCCGAAGATTATATAATGTTGAGGTGAAGAGACATATATAGCCTTGGATATTTGTGTGGTAATGAGGTTTAATAAGTTATTTGGACAATTTTAAATATTTACTATTTGG